TCAGTCAAGTGCCCACACAGACTGCCACCCATTGGGCTGGCCTACCCTCCCCAAGGGAATCCTTAGACATTCTGCCCCTCTCTCATGCGACAGGCAGCTAAACACAAGCCTACAATATCTAAGGGACCTGTTGATGTCCATGAAATGAGTAATAATACAGTTGGTGCTTGCAAAGAACTGACTCATTAGGAAAGACCCTGTTGCTAGGAAAGATTGAAGGCAGGAGGAGCAGGGGGCAACAGAGGACAAGATGGTTGGATGGCATCACCGACTCAATGGACATGGGTTTGAGCAAGCTCCAGGAGATGGTGAAGGACAGGGAAGCCTGGCATGCTGCAGTCCATGGGGTCACAAAGAGTCAGACACAACTGAGTGACTGAACAACAACAACAATGGCTGATCCATGTTGATGTATGGAAGAAACCAACTCAATATAGTAATTATGCTTCAATTAAAAATAAATAATTTTTAAAGGACTTAATGGAGAAGCAAGATAGACAAAGGGAATTAGCAAAGTCTCAAGGATTTGATTGACCTCCCCTGACCTGTCCATGACCTTGAAATGAGTCTTTGGAAGGATCCAGGAGAGCAGTCAGTCAGCTGGGGGAATGCTGGAGGCCCTCATGGATAAAACTTCAGGGCGTCTCCCATCCACAGCCCAAGTTTATACAATCCAGCACCCTCAGAACTTGGCATGGGATTCACTTTGATGTCATTTTTGCTGTAAGACAACAAATGCTAATTTGTTCACATTTATTAGAGTGGATTAGTCAAGCCAGCAGCAGCCGCGTAGGTGAATGCTAATTGGCCTCAAAGTCATTCATCACCGTTAAAGCGGTAAGACTCTGTGGTTACTAATCAACCAGGCTTGCAGATAAGAGTAAAAGATTTACCAGTCACCTAGGTATTCATTTATTGATTCAATAAGATTTACCTAGTACTTTTCAAAGAAAGACACTGTCTCAGGTACTTCAAACAATGAATTAAAAAAAAAAAAATCCCTACCCTCAAGTAGCTCAGAACTTAGTAGAGCAAGATGCGAGAATAACCTATGCCAAATGCATGGGAGGGGACACACTGCCACTGCATTTCTGAGAAGGGCGGTCTCGTCTCTCTGGGGAGTCACAGAGGCTTCTCGAAAGAGGCAAGGTTTGGCTGGACCTTGAAAAGTGGGTAGGAGTAGAACCTACATGGTGGGACATGCATTCTGAGGAGAACATGTGCAGTGGCAGAGGAAGGGGAAATGAAGGGTGTTTGGGGGAGGCAGTGAGGCTCTGGCAGGCGGCAGCATGCATGACCGGGGAAGTGTTCACAAGCAGCGCTCAGCCCTGCCACGGGCCAGGCCCTGTGCTGCGTGCCAGGCCCATGCTGACCACAGGGCTACATCAGAAAACAAAATCCACAGTGTCCTTAACCTCACAGCACTGGCAGTCCCTCCAAGGATAAGGCCAAAGAGGAAGACGGGGGAACCCCCGATTCTGCCCTTCTCTGTAGACTGGAGATTTGGGGGTTGGTCCTGGGGAGTTAGTGACAGTTTTTAATGATTAGAGACTTTTGGAAGATTAATCTGGCCCCAGATTCAAAGGTAAATTTAAGAAGAGGAGAAAAGTGGGACTTTCCTGGTGGCACAGTGGATAGAAATCCTCCTGCCAATATAAGGGACATGGGTTCAATCCCCAGGAAGATTCCACATGCCGTGGAGCATCTGAGCCCACAACCACAACTACTGAAGCCTGCACGCCTAGAGCCTGTGCTCCACAACTAGAGAAGCCTCCGCAAAGAGAAGCCCAGGCATCACAATGAAGAGTTGCTTCCCACTCGCTACAACTAGAGAAAGCCCCGCCAAGTAATGAAGACCCAGCGTAGGCACTGTTCAGTCAATAAATCATGTCTGACTCTTTGTGACCCCATGGACTGAAGCACGCCAGCCTGCCCTGTCCTTCACTATCTCCCAGAGTTTGCTCAAACTCATGTCCATTGAGTCAGTGGTGCCATCCAAACACCTGTTGCCCCCTTCTCCTCTTGCTCTCAATCTTTCCCAGCATTGGGGTCTTTTCCAATGAGTTGGCTCTTCACATCAGGTGGCCAAAGTACTACAGCACAGCCATAAATAAGTAAAAAAAAAAATTTTAGAAAAGAGCAAAAAATTGAAAGTCCAGTTAGAAAGCTATTGTAGTAACCTAGATGAGATTATGACCAAGACTAGTACAATAAGAAGAAAAATAAAGGAATATGAAAAAGAATACACACACACATATACGTAGAGAGAGAGGGGGTATAACAATCACTTTGCTATACACCAGAAACTACCACAACATTGTAAATCAACTCTATTTCTATTTAAAATGAGAAAGGGGAGGATTTCCAGCAGGAAAGGAAAGTAAATGAAAGAAAAATTGGTAAAGGAGGGCTAGATAGTGAGCAGTTACATCTCTTCAAGATGCCAGCACCTACTGTTTTCTCTTGATGCTTCCTAAGGTCTTTAGAAAGACACTTCTCAGAGAAAGCCCAGAAGTAAACCCATGCACCTATAGATACCTTATTTTTTATAAAGGAGGCAAGAATATACAATGGGGCAAAGACAGCCTCTCCAATAAATGGTTCTGGGAAAACCGGACAGCTACATGTAAAGGAATGAAATTAGAACACTTATTAACGCCATATACAAAGATAAACTCAAAATGGATTAAAGACCTAAATGTAAGACTAGAAACTATAAAACTCTTAGAGGAAAACATAGGCAAAACACTCAATTACATAAATCAAAGCAAGATCCTCTATGACCCACCTCCTAGAATAACAGAAATAAAAACAAAAGTAAACAAGTGAGGCCTGATTAAGCTTAAAAGCTTCTGCACAGCAAAGGAAACTCTAAGCAAGGTGAAAAGACAGCCCTCAGAATGGGAGAAAATAATAGCAAATGAAACAACTGACAAAGGATTAATTCCCAACATATGCAAGCAGCTCATACAACTCAATGCCAGAAAAACAAACAACCCAATCAAAAAGTGGGAAAAAGACCTAAACGGACTTTTCTCCAAAGAAGACATACAGATGGCTAACAAACACATGAAAAGATGTTCAACGTCGCTTGTTATTAGAGAAATGCAAATCAAAACCACAATAAGATATCATCTCACACCAGTCAGAATGGCCATCATCAAAAAGTCTACAAATAATAAATGTTGGAGAGGTTGTGGAGAAAAAGGAACACTCTTGCATTGTTGGTGGGAATGTAAATTGATACAGGCACTATGGAAGACAGTATAGAGATTCCTTAAAAAACTAGGAGTAAGACCACCATATGACCCAGCAATCCCACTCCTAGGCGTATACCCTGTGCAAACCAAAATTGAAAAAGACACATGTATTAATCCATGGCTAATTCGTTTCAATGTATGACAAAAACCACTGCAATGATGTAAAGTAATTAACCTCCAACTAATAAAAATAAATGGAAAAAAAAAAGAAAAAGACACATGTATCCCATTGTTCATTGCAGCACTATTTACAATAGCTAGGACATGGAAGCAACCCAGATGTCCATCGACAGATGAATGGATAAAGAAGTTGTGGTACATATACACAATGGAATATTACTCAGCCATTAAAAGGAATGCATTTGAGTCAGTTCTGTTGAGGTGGATGAACCTAGAACCTATTCTACAGAGTGAAGTGAGTCAGAAAGATAAAGATAATAATATTTATCTTCTAACACATATATACGGAATCTAGAAGAATGGTACTGAAGAACTTATTTACAAGGCAGCAAATGGAGAAACAGACATGGAGAATAGACTTATGGACATGGGGAGAGGGCAGGAGAGGGTGAAACGTATGGAAAGAGTAACATGGAAACTTACACTACCGTATGTAAAATAGATAGCCAACAGGAATTTGCTATGGGGCTCAGGACACTCAAACGGGGGCTCTGAATCAACCTAGAGGGGTGGGGTGGGGAGGGAGGTGGGAGGGAGGTTCAAAAGGGAGGGGGTGTGTGTATACCTATGGCTGATTCATGTTGCGGTTTGACAGAAAAAACAAAATTCTATAAACAAATGATCCTTCAAATTTTTAAAAAAATTGTTTTTTAAAAAGACACTTATCTTTGTGGTGTCCCCCAGGAGACCACGCAATAGAGAACACAATAGGGGTATGTGTGACAAATGAAGTGGGGATATAGAAGGGAATTTGGATGTTGGTGGAGGCAAGATTTGGGGTCTTCACTTCCAGTGGGCCTTGTAGACCAAATGCCTTTCTTGAATTCTCCTCTGACAGTGATTCTCCTTCCACACTCCAGAAATCTGACTCCTGGTCCAGAGATCCTGACTTGTCCGTTTCCCCATGACTCCCAGAGCCCAGGTTGGCCCGGATTCTAGACAATGACCCCCACTGGCATCAGAAAGACCGGATCAGCAGTCAGCCCCTTGGCCAGCGATCAGAGCCTCTGGCCTCCCCCAGTGTCACACCACATCAGGAGCAGGCAGGCCCAGGCAGGGGCCATGCAGCAGCTCCCCGGCTGGGGTGAGAAAGTGGACATCTCTTGAGAATCTACTCAAAATGCATGTGCCCTGACAGAGCATGTTCTCCGAGACATCTGGGGACTCTGGGGCCCAATTAGGACACTTCCCAGGCTTGTAGCAGCCAGATGCAAACACCTCTGACTTGCAATCCCACCGCCAGAGTCTCAAGAACAGAATTAAAGTCTTCCTTAGAGAGTGAGAATTACCCTGCGTGTAAGTAGGTAAGAAAAATCACTTCCGCCTCCAATTTTTTTTTATTGGAACATCTGTTTTCTCCCACAATACCATTCAACAAATCCCAGCAAAGGGGAGCTACTAAACTGAAAAATAATTATTAAATGATCTACTCATCTCTGGCTCTGGAGATTAGCGGGAGAAATGAGACCCATTCACAAGAGGATGCTCCTCTTTCTGGAGAAAGTCAATCACTCTGTAGATGTCTCTGGGCTGTGATATTGAGCAAGATTCTCCCTGAGAAGTGTCCTCCACAGCTGGCAAGGAGAACCATCACCACTCACCTGGCATTGCCAAATAGTCCAGATATGGGACCTCTGCTCACAGCTAGCAGAGGACTGTTCTTATTTCACCCAGGCAATATATGGCAAACTCCACATAAAAGGACCGAAGAATAAAAAGAGGGTTGTTTTTTTTTCTAATAAATATTCTTTTGCTGCTAATCCACCCTTTGTAACTGTCAGGCTTCATGGAGCTGGCACTGAGCCCATCAGATAATAATGCAGCTGTGACCTGAGAAACGTGAGAAGAGGAGCTGATTAATAAAGATGAAAAACATGTTTGGTAACTGTGTCTGTGGGGAGGTCCAAGGGGAGTCTTCAGAGGAGTTATCCTGGGAGCTCCAGGACCCCAGATCCAATGCCACCCAGAAGCCGGGGCTACCCCACAGACACAGGGGTCAGATGCAGTCCTGAGAGCAGGCAGCTAGTTTCTCTAACTTTCTGCCCTGCGCCTTCCTGAGTCGGCTTAATGGAACATGGATACAGCGTGACAGAGGAATCCCACCACAAGGCACATGCTTCTGGTACTTTCCCCACCCCAACACAGCATTAGGCTGAAGACACATATGTCTCCAGGGAGGCAGCCCAAGGCAGTAGCACGCTCTTCTCCTGCTCTCTGACAAGCCCCCAGCAAGCAGCCCCATCCAAAGGTGAGGCTGAAGGCAGAGGGATTTGACCAAAGGCTGTGTTTTCCTAACCAAGAGTTAGGACAAGTGACCTGACAGGCAGTTAAGATGGCGCGGTCAAAACAGAACACTTCTGACCCTGAAACTCTGGGTTTTGTATGAACGAAAGAACAGAGAATGGAAACACTGGTCATCTAAGCTAAGTGATTTGAAAAGGACTATTCCATAGATTTGACGCCTCTACATCTTTCTCCACTTTTCCTTCCTCCGTCGTCATCTGTGATTATATCCTACAGAAATGTCTGCCCCAGGCCAGCCCCCAGGATTTCTCCAAACCCTATCACATGGCTCCTGCTGCTTCTCCCTGAATCTCTGTCCCGTGAGCCAACCCATCCTGCACGGAGCTTTGGGAGTCTCCAACCAGGCACCCCCTCCTCCCTTCAGGAGGAACTGGGGACTATGGGCATGGCCCATAGTCACCACGCTGGGACAGTAGACAGTGGGGAGTGCTGGCATCATCAGTGCTGGTCATTATCCTTTTAAACTTTGGCCCAGAGCCCCAGAACCCCAGGACACAGAGCCCAGAATCTGACCCTTTATTTTGACTTTCCTCTGCAGTTTTCAACTATGAGGGAGTTACCCCCAGCTGGGCATCAACTGTCTGGAGCAATTCTGGAGGAGTGGGAGGACAAGCATTCATTCCATCCCCCGGAGGAGTAGACTAGAAAGACACCAGCAGGAGCCACAGGAAGAGTCCTAGGAAGACATGCGAGGGTCTCTGTAGCTCAGAGGAGAGCCAGTCGTGTGACAGCCCGCTGTCAATAATTCATCAAAATCATAGTCACTGTGGTAGACCACTCACTTTGTACTGAGCACTGTTCTAAACTTCTTTTATCAACTAATTCGTACCAGCTTCACAACAGCCTTCTTATTTTATGGGTGGAAGTAAATGTCAAATGGGCTTCCGAGGTGGCACTAGTGGTAAAGAACCTGCATGCCAAAATGGGAGATATAAAAGAAGTGGGTTTGATCCCTGGGTCAGGAAGATCTCCTGGAAGAGGGCAAGACAACCCACTCAGTGTTCTTGCCTGGAGAATCCCATGGTCAGAGGAGCCTGGCGGGCTACAGTCCATGGGGTCCCAAAGAGTCGGACACAGCTGATGTGACTTAACACAGATGGAGGCAAACATCACATAATATAAATTTCACCATTTTAACCGCTTTAAAATGTACATTGACATGACATTCAGGACATTCACAATGTTACACAACCCTATCAGATTCCAGAACATTTTTATCACCCCCAAAAAGAAACCTCAACACACCTTTTAGATGATTACAATAACCTCCATCTGAGGTCGCTCCCTCTATTGGCGAAGCTTCACATCACACTTGCCGGAGCGAGAAAGGCTCGGGGTCCAGTCAGAGCCGCAGAGCAGGTAGGGAAGGTGAACGTGTTGCTGACTGGCAGTAAACGGATTACTGGCACATTACTCACATTTTACACACGAGAAAAGGCAGCTGGGAGGTTAAATAACTTGCTCCAGGTCATGAAGTTACTGGCAAAGCCAGGCTGTCTGACTCCAAAAGGAGGCAGATACTTCTGTCTGGAAGATAGCAAAGGCTGACCGCAAGGACGCTGCAGAGCCTCTCGTGAATAGCACAGATAAGGTTCCACGAACTCGCTGGCCAAATCTGAGGCTCTTAGGAGAAAGGGACATTTATAGCGCTGTGAACCAGGAAACTTGAGTGGAGGCACTCAGGAAGAGAGAAAACCTCTGAAATTCACTAGCTGTGAAAGTCACAGTTCATCTAATTAGGCCAAGAACTGCAGGAGACGGTAACCAGCCCTGGCTGAGGGAAGTAAGGGCTGGGGCAGACGGAGAAGACGAGGGGTCCGCGTCCGACCTCAGCTCTCCTCCAGCCGGTCCCACTGTGCATCTCCCAACTTCCCAGCTCACGGTCTCCGCTGGAGTCCTGGTACATCCCATTAGTCCTTCTCGGCTCCCTGCCCTTGTTTCTTTCGCTTTGTTTTCCACCTGGAGAGCATTCCCCTCTCCTCCTAACTTATCTAAACCCCACTCCTGCTGGTTAGCACAGGCCTCAGTGAGGTCTTTTTTCTGAATGCAGAAAGTGCATAACAACAGGATCAACACTTCGGAGGTCATTGCTAAGGTGGAGTCCACGGTGCTGAACGTTTTCCAGGGCATGACCGCCTTCTATCCTCACCAAGGAGCTGGGTGAGGCAACCGAGATCTAGAGAGATGGCATCTGCAAAGTCATGCAAGCACCAAGGGGGCAGAACCAAGATGAGAATCCTGGTCTTAGTGATTCCAGAACTAACCTCTTGACCCACAGTGCTCAGTCGCTCAGTCATGTCTGACTCTTTGTGACCCCGTGGACAGTAGCCCGCCGGGCTCCTCTGTCCATGGGAATCTCCAGGCAAGAATGCTGGAGTGGGTTGCCATGCCCTCCTCCAGGGGATCTTCCCGATGCAGGGATCGAACCCGTGTCTCTTGCATCTCCTGCATTTGCAGGTGGATTCTTTACCAGTAGTGCCACCTGGGAAGCCACTAACCTCTTAACCACCATATTAAAGAGCCTCTCAACTGTGTTCAGCCATCACAGTGTAGCTCCGTCATGGGGAGCTAATGTTTCCTTCCTCCCCACACTGACCTTTCCTTCCCACCAGACTACAAGTTCTCCAAGGGCAGGCACCATGATATAAGGCCGCTCAGCATAGAGCCTCACATTCAGATTCCTCTCCTTCTCTTCTGTTCACCTGTAGTGTCTACATCAGTAACAAAATATTTCCATATCCAGAAGCACAAATGAATGGACTTATATGAAGGGAAGACTCACTGATCTTTGTACCCTGACCCAGAGCATAAAGGAAGACTGTGGTTTCAGTAGGGCTTCGCAGGTGGCTCAGCGGTAAGGAATCCACCTGCCAATGCCAAGAGACACAGGAGACATAGGTTCGATCCCTGGGTGGGGAAAATCCCCTGGAGGAGGGAATGGCAACCCATTCCAGTATTCTTTCCTGGAAAAACTCCATGGACAGAGGAGCCTGGTGGGCTGCAGCTCAAGGGGTCACAAAGAGTCAGACACGACTGAGTAGCTGGGCATGAACACAGTGACTTCAGTATTGTGTTGAGAGATGAACCGAGGAGAGGAAACTACAGGGCAAGAGTTACATGCTGCTTTGTGGCTGGCCTAGAGCCCCGGCCAGCTATTAATGTCACCCTAATAATAAGAACAACTCCTATCTTTAGAGCCCGTGGTGTATGTCAGGTCCTGTCACCGCTGAATTTGTAATAGCTCATAAGTCCACATACCAAGCTTTTGAGATAGGTTCTGCTATTATCACCGCTTTGTAGATGAGGAAATTAAGACTCAGAAGAAACTTTCCTAAAGGTTTGTAGCTGCTAAATGGTAGAGTTGGAATTTAACCCAGGGCTTTCTAATTCCAAAACTAGAGCAAAGGGAAGGACCCCCAAAACTTATTTAGGGAACAGTACCTCTCAACGAAGTTCAAATATTCAAACTTTCCATGTTATCAAATATTTACTATTTCTAAACAGATGGTAATTGACTCACAGAAGATATGGCCACTGCGGTCGAGAGGCTAATAATTTAGACAAGAGGACAGATGAAGGGAAAGAAGGAAGATACAGGACAAACAGCAGGTCTGGACAGCAAGGAGATGGGCTGCCTTGTAAGGGAACTGATGGGAGTGGAGAAGAGCTTGGAAAGTTTAGGTAAGGGATCTGATTAGACAACTTTTAAGTTTCCTTCCATAGCTGATAATTCTGTGATTCTGTTAACTGGCTGACAGTCAACAGGAAATGTAGGAACTTAACTCTAGCAAAATTCGGAGGTTAGGGCACACGTTATACCATCAGCATGAAAGACTTAGATGTTGTCACAAAGTGTGGCTCGGGTTCCCAGCGGAGGACACGAGAGGGGTGTGGGCAGAAGCCAGAGATCCGAGAGTCAACCAGTCTGTGGAAGAGGAAGGAGAAGGAGAAGAGGAGGAGGAAGGGAGGGGGAGCGGAGGGGAAGAAAAAGAGGGTGGGGAGGGGAGGGGAGAAGGAAGGAGGGGGGAGAAGAAGGAAACTAACACCAGTTAGTTCAAGGACGGCAGCAAAAGAGAGAATGGCTCAGCACAAGTCAGGAAGCACTTGTGATCACTTACTCTGCATGCGTTTGACATTCTATTCATTCAGCAAACAACACCGAGTATTACTGTGAGCCAGGACTGTTCCTGGAGCTGGAAAGCAAGGTGAGCACATAGGTAAAGCTTGTCTCTCGGGCACTAATGCTCCTGGACAAAGCTTATGAGCAAGACATTTCATTGTGGGTGACATGAAAGAATGGAGATCATGGTCCCTATGCCCAAATCACTCAAAGCCAGTCTGTGGATACTAAACCAACACAAGGTGAGCTAGATTGCAATCCAATATTCAAATAAGACGCGAAGAAAGTAACAGACAGGAAAGAAACTAACAAGCCGAAGTTTTGTCCTACCAGGTGGAAGAGACAGGGGCACATTTGGAGGCAGGGAGGTATGCCAGTCAAACTTAATTACACACGGCTCTATGCTGTTTAAAAAACATAGACTTTCATAGTCCTCAGAAACTGAATCTTACTACCACTACTTCTCAAGTGATATAGCTGTCCCTCCTAGGAGTAGTTCTAGAAGTCTTATCATCGCAGCTGGGCCAAGCCAGGCAGACTTCCCGGCAGAGGAGGCAGGGAAGAGATGGTGTCTGTCCTTCATAAGCCAGCATTTATTGCTTGCAATAGGCCAGGGATATAAAACAGTCCTAAAATGTACATCAGTGATAAGAGGGACCTATCTGATCATCCAACCTGATTTCCTTGTTTCACAGTTGAAGAAACTGAGGTGTGGGAACATGAAATGGTTTGTCTATGGTGAATTAGTGGCCACTGGCAGACTCAAACCCCAGTTTCCCAGAGATCCCTCTTCCTCCAGATAGAAAAAGGACCATGTATCCAGGAAGGGGCGGGAGGCAGGGAACCTCTGAGGTCCTCACCAGCCCTATCCCAGGATGATATCACTATTCACTCCCTCCCCTGTTGCTCACCCTACATCACTCCCATTGCATCCGCCAGCCCAGCTCTGGGATCTCACCTGGCAGGCCTCTCAAGTTCAGACCTCGCCTGGTCCTGGGACTGACTCTCCAGCAAGATGCAAATCAGAGGGGCTGGTGCCGGCTTCCCCAGGGCTGCCTAGTTCTAACCAGAACCCAAGGGTAGCAAGATGAGCCCTGAAGAATTCAAAACCTGTCTGAGGTTCTCAAAGCAAATAGAGGCGAGGACACCAGGCCACGGACAAGGGCAAAAGGCGTCTTTGGTGGTTCCCTTTGCTGGAATGCACCAGCACCACCCGGGGCTGGAATGGAGACCCAGAAACCAGCCCCAGTCATCTCCACGGGGCCAAGAGCAGCTCCACGCCCCACTCTGCCCTCGAGGACTCAGACCCAGGATACCCAAGGGTGGCGATGGAGAATCCAGGGCCTCGTGGGGGTAGGTGGTGACTGGGGAAGGCCCACGACCACCACCACATGGGGAAGCAGGAGAAGGGCTCTAATTCTCCCAGACGGAGATAATAATTCTCCCGGGAGAATTCTTTTCCTGGAGATTGTGCCCTGACCTGGAAGAGCAGCTCCCCAGAAATGACACTTGAGGAGCTGGCTCAGGGCCACAAGAGCATATAGCTCCGGGTTTTATTTCCCCTTTATAAATGGAGGCAGGGGAGGAGAGGAATTCTTCGGCTGAGTAACACAATACCTCTGGGTCCGGCCCACTGGGCTTGGTCCTGGGAAGAGCAAACAACCTGGCAGCCCTGTCCCCGCAGGTTTGTGGATGCCAGCCCCCAGCTGCCACTCACTGCCCTGGGGCGTGGACGAAGGGGAGGGGAATCTCCCAGCTCTCCCCACTCTCCTAGGGATGTTGAAGAAAGACTGCAGTCCAGCTCTCAACCTCCAGGGGAAGGCCAGGCCCAGGGTTCAATGCCACCAACCATCAAATGTAACTCTGTACCCCCACCCCTTGCCATCTCGGTTCCCACCTTCCCCACTGACCCAGGCCCCCAAACCCAGCTGCCAGCCCAGGGTTTCTTCCCCAAAAGCCTCTGCTCAGGAAGGGAGTACCCCCCCAACCCCCGCCTCTACTGATGGACCTGTGTTCTGCACCTCACAAGCCAGGAGTGAGCACCCGAGATCCAAACAGTCAGCCACAGCAGTAAAATGTTAATAGCAACCAGCATTCCTGCAGAATTCAGCCATTGACAAGATACTTTTTACGGATATCAGCTTTCTCATTTTTGGATGGCATCACCCACTCAATGGACACGAGCCTGAGCAAACCAGGAGATGGTGAAGGACAGGGAAGCCTGGCCCGCTGCAGTCCATGAGGTTGCAAAGAGTCAGACGCGACCAAGCGACTGAACAGCAACAACAACCTTCTAAGTCAGGCATCATCGTGTCCCCATTTTACAGACTGGAAAGTAAGAGGCTGAAGTGACCAAGACAGAATCTGAACCCAAGCCACTGGACTCTCTGTGTCACAGCCCATCCACAAGCCCAGCCGCCTGATCGCTGGTGTCAGTGATCTGCAGAACGAGCTAGGACAGATGCTGGCTCTGCAGGCCTGGCCTTTCAAAGCCAGCAGCTGGATGAATGGGAGGCTCTCACCTGGCAGCCCGAGGGCTCCGGGACTCGCCTGGCCCCGGGCTCCCAGCCCCCCGCCCCCCCAGCAGGTGCCCCCTCACCTCGCCCCGCTGCCCTCCCTGCCGCGCTCCCGGCCGGGCCCGCGCCCTCTGTGCGCTGTTTGTTTTGCTGAGTGTTTCCGTTGGCTGGAGTGTGGGTGTTTGTTGTACTTTTCCCGCAGATGGCAGACAGCGTGCCCTCCCCACCATCGCCCCACCCTGGGGGCTGTGTGGAAGCAGACGCCACAGGCAGAACAAAAGCCTAGCAGCTGAACAGCCTGTCTGCCGGCATCTTTTATCCAATCCAAGTCCAGACACTATCTTGACAAAATTCCTTTTAACTCCTCCAGCATCTGGGACTCTTCCGGCCTGGCTCCCATCCGTCTGGAGCCCCCCACCACTTCCCCCACCCTCACAGAAAACATCTGCTCCTCTGATGGGGCAGGACACACTGTTGCAAAAAGCACTTTGGTTTGCGGTGGGGGGGTGGGGAATGGGAGGTTATTAATATTTGGATTCTTGGCTTCCATCCATTATGCCCCCTCGTAACGCAGAGACCCGACGCTCACAGAAACTTCTGACAAAAGGCAAGGAGGGTACTGCTCTGTAAAAGGTGGAACATAACGCTTGTGCTCAGAACTCCCCTCAGCAGTAAGTCTCGCTTTTCACTGCCTCTGAGAGGCCGCTTGATGAGACAGACAGGTGCCCCTGTGGGACTGGGGTGCCGGAGTGCTGGAGAAGGATGCGGTTTCTCTGTTTTTAGAGCAAAGGTTTCTCACTGCCAAATCTCAGTATTCTCATATGGCCCTAAGAGCTGTGCTCAGCTTGGAGACAAGCGCCTCTCCTTCTGGAAATGCAGGGGCTGGGAAGGGCCTGGGGGTCCTCGTTGCCCATGCCTGAGGCGAGAACTCAGCGGGGGGCACGCCTGCCGCCCTCCACTGCACCTTCACCACTGTTCAGTGACTCCAGCTAGACTCCCCCGTTTTCATCCCATGGTCTCCCCGCTGCTTCGACCGCTCTGCCCAGCTTCTCAGATGGATGACTCGGCTACCCAGCCTTCTTGGGTTTTCTTCTCAGCCCAGGTCATGTCTTGAGTGATCCCCATCACTGGCCAAGGCCCACCTCATTCTGTCCTCATGCTCAGACCTACAGGACCCCAGCCAGGCCCAGAAGGGAAACATGGCCATCATTCCTGAGCCTGCTGGACAACATATTACGTTCACGTGAAAGTATGTCCTTGGACCAGCAATCCCACTTCTGGGCATACACACCGAGGAAACCAGATCTGAAAGAGACATGTGCACCCCAATGTTCATCACAGCACTGTTTATAATAGCCAGGACATGAAAGCAACCTAGATGCCCATCAGCAGACGAATGGATAAGGAAGCTGTGGTACATATACACCATGGAATATTACTCAGCCATTAAAAAGAATTCATTTGAATCAGTTCTAATGAGATGGATGAAACTGGAGCCCATTATACAGAGTGAAGTAAGCCAAAAAGATAAACACCAATACAGTATACTAACGCATATATATGGAATTTAAAAGATGCTAACATTAACCCTATATGCAAAACAGAAAAAGAGACACAGATGTACAGAACAGAATTTTAGACTCTGTGGGAGAAGGCGAGGGTGGGATGTTTCGAGAGAACAGCATGTATATTATCTAGGGTGAAACAGATCACCAGCCCAGGCTGGATGCATGAGACAAATGCTCGGGCCTGGTGCACTGGGAAGACCCAGAGGAATCGGGTGGAGAAGGAGGTGGGAGAGGGGATCGGGATGGGGAATACATGCAAATCCATGGCTGATTCATGTCAGTGTATGGCAAAAATCACTACAATATTGTAAAGTAATTAGCCTCCAACTAATAAAAATAAATGGAAAAAAAAAAGTATGTCCTTGGAGGCGTCCAAGCTGACTCTGTCTGCAAGGACCTAGGAGCAGCAAAGATGCTGTGAAGGGGAAAGGCAAAGGAGCCTGCCAGGGCGCCCACAGGGGCATCGGCAGGTGAGACATCAGAGTCTCCGTGGCTGCCCCCTGGCAGTTCTGTAGTTCTGCTGGTGCTGACACTGGGTCCCAGACTCCCAAGATCCATTCATCGGTTAGACAGCTAACTCTGATTTGTGCATACCACATTCCAGAACACAGAGAGAACTTGGGCCTGCTGTGCACAAGTGCTTTGCCCAGTCCCCTAGAAACACAGCGTGACCCAGTGCGTGTTGCCAGCCTGAGCTTTCCAGCCTGGACTCACACAGGCCCCACCCCTTGCCTATCCAGGCCTCCAGACATTCAAGGTCTGGCTCTACAAAGCCCTGACCTCTTTTAACTGAAGCCAAGCACTCTCTTGGGGAATTTCTTCTAGCCTTTCCAAAATTCCACCAGGTATTTAGTTATCTGGATACACATCTTATCTGTAAACTTCTGAACAACAGAGATATCTTGTTCATCTGTGCTCACTGACCACCCACTGCTCGCCGCTCCCAGCTCCTAGCCCTGTACATTGCATACAGCAGACGTTACCATTTTCTGGATCAAAAATCCAAGATAATTACCCCCCAAGTCCTTCTGATCGGCCACTAAGGGGTCCTGGCAAATGGTTGATGGAGAAGCAAACAAGGCGTGTTTCCATCTCCTTGACAACTGCGTGTACAGTTTCAAAATAGAATGCCGTCAGTGATGAAGTCAGAGGGTCCTCAGGTATAAGCTCTTCCCCCGTCCTCACTGGACGTTACCTTAAAGTTCCTCTTACACTTTCCTGGTGCCACTTCTGTCCTTCACTCCCACCCATTCAACAAAAACCTTTGCTTGACACGTTAAACACGTTTTCAAAACCCCAATTTCCTGAACTCAAGGAAAAACAGGCTTCCCCTGCCTGGGGTGCTGGCTGCTGCCTGGCCAGCCTGTGGGGCTGGCCCCCTCTCCCGCACATCCATCCTGGCAGACAGCTAAGCCTCTGTGGTCTGGACCCCAGTGAGGCCTCCCGGTGATTTGCATATAATCACACACAATACCGGGCGCAACAAAGCCACTCCACACAGCGGAGCCTTCTCAGCTGAGTTTAAGGTTTAATCTCCTTAATACAAAAAGTTTCTGCTTTGCTTTGGATGGGCTCTGGGACTCTTGCTAATGATGCTAAACAAATAATCGCCCTTTATTCCCCTCTGGAGTCTGTGCCATACGCATTGTGGCCGCCCAGGCCCCGGTTGTTGTGGTTTACGGGCCAGGCCTGCACCTGCACTGTTTGTGTGAGATCACCGGATGCCTGGCAAAACTCTTTAAAGAGAGCCACGCACAGCGGCAGGGGTGGGTGGGGCTCAGGAGGTGCCAACCAGACACCAGCGCTAGGCTTCCCAGACTCCCGGAGCCCCCTATTCTTCCCCTCAGGAAGCACTCACCCCAACACGCCCTTCAAAATCCAGCCCCTTCTTTACTAGCTTCCCAAGTTAACCATCTCCCTCTTCCAGGGTTCAGCCCCCTCATACTTCCCCTCCCAGGCTCACCCAGCCCCTCCACCTACCTACCCCTTGCCCAGCCATCTAGGAGTTGCTCTGAACATCACTCGCTTACTTCAGCACTTTGCCCCTAGGACTGAGAGTTTGCCCCAACAGTGACCCTCTAAGACACTATTTCAGAGAGATGCTTAGTATCTTTAGTCTTGGCTCCAATCCTCTGCCAGGTCATTTTGAGAATGAGCCACGATCCCCCGTCTCTTTTATTGATGCAGGATTTAGAAGTCAATAATCAGACAGGTGGCCTAGATGGGGCCTACCTATCTCAGTTATCTACTTCTGTGTAACAAACAACCCCAAAACCTAGAAGCATAAAACAACAGTTTTATTCTGTCTCACAATGTTGAAGTTCAGAAATTTGTTCAGGGCTCAGCAGGGCAATTCTGTTCTCTGTGGCATCAACAGGGATTACTCTGTGGTATTCGGCTGGCAGATGGGCTGATCTAAGGGTCTTATGCCCTGGTAGCTGCAGCTGGAAAGTTTGGCTTAGCTGGAACTGTTGAACAAAGGGCCTCCTTCCATATGGTCTCTGCAGCACCACAATCTCAGGATAATTGTATTTCTTACATAGCAGATCAAAGCTCCCAGAGACAGTGTTCCAAAAGAACTGGGCAGAAGCGTCAAGTCTTCAGACGACCTATGCTCAGGACTCCCAGAATCTCACTTCTACAGCAGTCTATTGGTCAAGCAAGTTCAAGACAAGGGAATCTGCAGTCATCTTTAATCTATCACACCAGGCTTCCCTGTTGGCTCAGATGGTAAAGAATCTGCCTGCAACGCAGGAGACCAGGTTTGATCTCTGGGTCAGGAAGATCTCCTGGAGAAAGGAATAGCAGCCCACTGCAGGATTCTTGCCTGGCAAGTTCCATGAACAGAGGAGCCTGACGGGCTACAGTCCATGGGGTCGCAAAGAGTTGGACAAAACTGAGCAACTAACACTTTATCACACCAGCTAAAAAGGTCTTCACAAGAACCACCAATAATCAGTATGAGACTAACATCCTGGACCTAAAGGCTGAATAGCCTAGCCTTGCAAATAAAACATCCCAGTTACCAGCCTGCACACACTAGGTGCTGTACCGCTTCCCCCAAAGACTCAAGCAAGCATCCCAACCCTGACCTGGTGCAGAGTCCCCAGATGACCCCCCGCTCAGCCTGCCTCTCACCTGCCCTGGCCGCTGGCAGGACCTCTGGTTTTTCTTGGCTGCTGCCAGACCTGAAACTGCCCTTTTCAGATTTTTGTTCACAGATGACTTTGGATGGGAGATAAGGAAGTTTGATTCCATTTTTATAGAGGCAAAGATGCTGCCACAAGAGAGGGGGATTAATTCGGACTTTGGGTCCCGTTCTGGCCCTTGCAGGACAGCCCCAGCAGCAAGTCCCTGCGGAGGGAAAGAGACGTCACTCTGTCACTGCTCTAAGTCTCCCTGGGTGTCAGAGGTGAGCCTTGAGATGGAGACCGCAAGGTGAATGGGAGATGGAGGGTTGGGATAGGGTTCTATCTCCGCAGCACCAAGGTGCTGAGTCACATCAACCTCAAGCAACTCCTGCTTAGACAGGCTTCAGCAGACCTATCTGGCCCGAACCAGCTGCACTCTCCCCAGCTCCAGGCAGGGAGAGGCGGGCATCTGACAGGGCAGTCGTCACCCCAGCAGCAAGTGTGCAAGGTCACGTAAGCCAGCATCACTCACAGGTCTTTTTTTTTTTTTTTTTCAATTTTCTTCACTAATATGTTTCAAATTTTATTATGAAATATCCATGCCATACAAAAAGGAATAACTAATACCCAAACACCCATTCACCCACCCCCTAACTTAAGAAATAAAATGTTACCAATAGTGTTGAAGTTCCCTGTCCCACATGTATTTTCAGGACTCTGGAGAGTTGGAGAGGAAAGGGGGTCTGCTCAATTTCCATGCAGGAAGGGAAGGAGTGTTGGTGGGGAAGAAGGAAGCTATCCTTGGCATTAGCAACAGCTGCTCCAACTAGAAAGGGCTTCTAATTATAATTAGGTATTATAGCATCAAGGGATACTTTATAAGAATCTGGGAGTAGAATATAAAGAATTAAAACATTCTTTCCAACACCCAGCTCAGAGACTTCCCACATCCCACAGTCTGAATTAATCACCACCTCCTTAAGGAATCTTTAGAGATTGACTTTTATGTCTCCATGTCCATCTACATCCCACCCTCGACTAAACTCCATGACTGTGCATTATTCATTTTTTATCTTTCTCAAAGTTCTTGTGCAGAGTCAGGATTTCTTTTGTTATTGACGTGAATGTGTAATTAACTCTTGGGTGATCCTCATGATAAATGGACAGGGCAGGGAAGACTTAACAGAATAGGAAAGAAAAAGTAGGTTGATAAAAATAAGAGCCCAGAGCACACTTAGCACTCAGATCTTTGTAACTAAGGCCATTCTCCCATAAAAAGAACAAAAGTTCCTTGGAGAAATTACTGTTTCTAAGACTAGGAAAAGAAATACACAAGAGGAGAGGATGAGCCTCAAGCATCTTACAGTGCCACAAAGGAAATGGCTTAAAAATACCCTAAAACCCACAAGGATGGGTTATATCAAAGGGCCCAGGAGCCAAGAGCAAAATTTCAACTGTTCACCACTGGATCATTTTGAGAAAAGCAAAACTTTCAACCCGAAGTTCAGTTCAGTTCAGTTCAGTCACTCAGTCAAGTCCGACTCTTTGCAACCCCATGAACCGCAGCACGCCAGGCCTCCCTGTCCATCACCAGCTCCCAGAGTCCACCCAAACCCATGTCCATCAAGTCGGTGATGCCATCCAGCCATCTCATCCTCTGTCACACCCTTCTCCTTCTGCCAAAGTATTAGAGTTTCAGCTTCAGCATCAGTCCTTCCAATGAACACCCAGGACTGATCTTTAGGATGGACTGGTTGGATCTCCTTGCAGTCCAAGGGACTCTCAAGAGTCTTCTCCAACACCACAGTTCAAAAGCATCGATTCTTCGGCACTCAGCTTTCTTTATAGTCCAACTCTCACATCCATATATGACCACTAGAAAAACCATAGCCTTAACTAGACGGACCTTTGTTGGCAAAGTGATGTCTCTGTTCTTAAATATGCTGTCTAGGTTGGTCACAACTTTCCTTCCAAGGAGTAAGCATCTTTTAATTTCATGGCTGCAGTCACCATCTGCAGTGATTTTGGAGCCCAGAAAAATAAAGTCTGATACTGTTTCCACTGTTTCCCCATCTATTTGCCATGAAGTGATGTAACCGGATGCCATGATCTTAGTTTTCTGAATGTTGAGCTTTAAGTCATACTGATATACATATACTGTATAAACCATTGAATGAATGAATAACTAGCAAAGAAAATTCAAATTTCCCATTCAGAAGAATTCCACAAACTTACTGTAGGTGATCAGCCTTCAGGGAGAGGGAAGCATAGCTCTCCCCTTCTTAAGTGTGGGCTGTACATAGGGACTTCCTTCCAAGGGACACAATATGGAAAGGAGGAAAGAGAGTAACTTTACAGTGGAGAAAATCTGACAAACACATCCTCTTCCAGGTGACCAAGGTCAACATGAATGGGAACTCACACGTCATAGCGATGGTATGCATCCTTGATGTAAAGTGATGCAAACAGAACTTTATGGTCTTCCTCTCAAGAAAACATGACTCCTGATCAATCATGAGAAAAACGTCGAACAAATCCCAATGGAGGGACTTCCTGCAATATACCTCATGAGTTCTCCTCAAAACTGTCAGATCATCAAGAACAAAGGAAGTCTGAGACAGTGTCATAACGTAGAGGAACCTAAGGGGACCCAATAAATAAACAGAGTATGGTGTCCTAGATGGGATCCTTCAACAGAAAAGGACATTAGGGGGAACCTAGACAGATTGTGGATGTTAGTTCATAATAATATATTCATTCATTGATTATAACAAATGTACTGTATTAATAAAGATGTTTATAATAAGGGAAACTGAGTGTGAAGTGTTTGGGAATGCTCTGTGCTACCTTTGCAGTTTTTCTACAAATCTAGAACTGTTCTTTAAAAAAAAAACTAAAATCATATTCCAGGGGGGGAAAAAAATTAAACTGTAAAAGCAGAGGGAAAAATAGCCCGAGGG